GGCTAAAATACATACATGCACAAATACACAAACATACAGACACACAACCATACAAGCACACAGACATAATTTTTCAGGCACACAGTCACAAAGATATACAGACACACAGTCATAAAAGGCACACAAACAAACACAGTCATACAATCTACACATACAGGTACATTGTCGTACAAACACAGACATACATTCATACAGACACAGGCATTCACAGAAATACATACACAGACATAAAGAAACAGAGATAGGCATACAGAGACATACATACACAGACAAACAAAGAACCCTGCACACTGACACCGTGTAAATGCTCCGGCCATCAACAGAGGTGGATGCTCCATGTCAGGCAGACATTGCTGGATCCACCAGTAAAGTCTTCAAAGGGAATAAACACAGGCAACACTCCAATAGTAAGGATGGTATATTTATTGGTAGGTGAACCACCCCATAGAAAGTGTGATGTTTCAGCTCATGCAATAAGGCTCTGCTGAGCCAAAACGACGCACTTTCTTTGGGGTGGTTCACCTATCAATAAATATACCATCCTTACTATTGGAGTGTTGCCTGCGTTTATTCCTTTTGAATACATTTACACAGTCATACAGAGACATACATACTGTATGTCTCTGTATGACGGTCTGTGTATGTACACAGGATAGCTAAAAGATAGATCCCCATCTGTCGTGCAACTTCAACAATGCTTTGAAAGCTGGGGCTCTACCGATTCCCCATTCTTGCAGGATTGTATTTAGCATGGAGCAGTATTTGTGTGTTTGACTGTAAGCATGTGTTTGTATGGAGTATGTTTGTATGATTGTAGAGGTGTGTTTGTATGTAGTGTTTGCATTTGAATGCAAGCATGCATTTATGTGTAGTGTTGGTTTTTGAACGCAGGTGTGTGTTTATATATAATTTTGGTGTCTGATACAGAGGTGTGTTTGTATGTAGTGTTGACATTTGAATGCAGGGGTGTGTTTGTATGTAGTGTTGACGTTTGCATGTAGGTGTTTGTGTGTAGTGTTGTGTTTGAATGCTGAGATATATGCACATATACACATACACTGCCACACACGCACACACTGTGATACACATACACAAAGATACACACACTGACACATGCAGATATACATATACACAAACTGATACACATTCAAATAGACACACAGGTACACACAAACACTGACAGACATACAGATAAACACACAGTGACATACAGACACACATACACAATGATAGGGAAGAAGACACACAAAGACACACTAACAGACAGACACACACACACTAACAGACATTTAGATACACACAGACACATGGACAGAGACATATACATACACACACTGACAGACATGGATGCACACACACACACTGACAGACATAGATACACACACACACACTGACAGACATACACACACACACACTGACAGAGATAGATACACACACACACTGACAGACATACACACACACACACTGACAGACATAGAGCACACACACACACACACTGACAGACATACACACACACACACACACTGACAGTCATAGATACACACAAACACTGATAGATATACACACACACACACACACTGACAGACAGATACACACACACACACACTGACAGATTATATACACACACACACACTGACAGACATAGATACACACAGACACACTCTGACAGATATACACACACACACACTGACAGAGTTACACACACACACTGACAGATATAGATACACACACACATAATTGATATTATATACATAAACATACTGATAGATATAGATAAGGACACAGACACACTGATAGATATATACACACACACTGACAGATATAGGATAGCTACTACAGACACACTGATACAGATATATACACATTATTAATTGGATAGATATACACACACACACACTGACAGACATATACACACACAGACACACTGACAGACATATACACACACACTGACAGACATATATACACACAGACACACTGACAGACATATACACACACACTGACAGACATATATACACACAGACACACTGACCAACAGGTTCAGAAGGGGGGCTTACCTGGGATCCAAAGTGCTGCCTGAGGTAGTTGGGAGTTGGAGGAGCTGGTCCTGCCCAGCCCCCCTCCTCTCTGCCTTCTGCTGCTCTAGTCTTCTTGGGAGGACTTCCTCCCATGCTGAATAGAAGGGGGCCAGTGGTAGCTCCGCCCCTGCTGGGCACCAGCCGCGCTGTGTGCTTCAGTGGGAGCAGGGATATGACGTTCATATCCCCGCCCCCTCCACACAGTCCGCGGCAATGCAGGTTGGCGCTCGGCCACGCTACAAGAAGTGACCGGCAGGAGAGGGGCGCTGTGCACTTCTCTCCTGCAGGCCACCCGGACATTTGCGCCCCCGGGCCGGTGTGCCCTAAGGCGGCCGCCTGTGCCGCCTTATGGACGCGCCGGCCCTGATCTTAGCTCCCTGTCAATCATTGTTATAAGCTCCGCCCTTTACACCTGGCAGTCAGTATAGAGAGAGCCACCTCCATCTTAGCTCCCTGTCAATCATTGCTATAAGCTCCGCCCTTTACACCTGGCAGTCAGTATAGAGAGAGCCGCCTCCATCTTAGCTCCCTATCAATCATTGTTATAAGCTCCGCCCTTTACACCTGGCAGTCAGCATAGAGAGAGCCACCCATCTTAGCCTCAATCATTGTTATAAGCTCCTACTTTTACATGGGCAAAGTCAAAGTATAAGAGCCATCTTAGCTCCCTGTCAATCATTGTTATAAGCTCCGCCCTTTACACCTGGCAGTCAGTATAGAGAGAGCCGCCTCCACCTTAGCTCCCTGTCAATCATTGTTATAAGCTCCGCCTTTTACACCTGGCAGTCAGTATAGAGAGAGCCACCTCCATCTTAGCTCCCTGTCAGTCATTGTTATAAGCTCCGCCCTTTACACCTGGCAGTCAGTATAGAGAGCCACCTCCATCTTAGCTCCCTGTCAATAATTGTTATAAGCTCCGCCCATTACACCTGGCAGTCAGTATAGAGAGAGCCGCCTCCATCTTAGCTCCCTGTCAATCATTGTTATAAGCTCCTCCCTTTACACCTGGCAGTCAGTATAGAGAGCATACAGAGAGGAGGAGAAATTAAACAATGTTTCTATTTTCCATTCTCCAATGTACTACAGTGTGTGCCCTGACTGTGCCTTGTCTGAACTGGAATGTAATGTCATGTATTAAATCTAATGTAAATTGAAAAGAAAATGGAGCATCACATAAAAAGGCTAAAAAAAGGTTATGGGTAATTTTTAATGTTTTATTCAGCAATGTAATTTCCCTAAAAGTAACAGTTCTCCTTTAATATATCTTAAAATTTGAAGGTGATGTTCCAATACTCTGTATCAAAGTTCCCATTAAGGAAATAATCCTTATTATTAAATAATGCCCAGAATTCATTGTTTTTGGCTGACACTTTATAGTAAATATGAAAAGTAAGATGGAAGGAAATTAACTATAATTTGCATTATTAAAAAGCAATTACACAGTAATTCATAAAGCAGCTAGAATGTGATGTGACTTGGCAATGCCCGACATTCCTCTGTACGTGACACTGCCTCTGCCACTGGGTGATAATATGTGTCAGTTATTATGTGACAGGTAAGTGGATGTGTCCCTGTGCTGTGTGATCATGTAAAGGGAATGTGGGGATCTAATGCAGGTCATCAGGCAGCCCAGCCTTCTTTATAAAAAGCCTTTTCCAGTCCCAATGTCTCTCACTCAGGTGAACTCGCTGTCAGCATCGTACAGGACGAGGAGGATACAGGTACAGGTGAGTGATGCTAGGATACAGGACCGTACCGGTGATCCAGCCCAGGTACCGGTCAGCTGACATTTTTTATATATTCAGTCTATTATCTGATAAATCCTGGTTATATCACGATGTGTTAAAGGAAATCTCCAGAAACACCATAAGTTGTTATGGTGCCACGAGGTCCCTGGTGCTGGGTTACCTTTATGGGTTAAAGAATTTGAAAATGACATTACCTTAAGTGGCTTGCTGACTATTGGATTAGGATTATCAATGTGTTTTGTGAATCAGAATGTCCGGTTGAACCCAGAGCTATATTTCTAAGACGTCTCCCCATTTATTTAGTGCAGGGATGTCCTTTAGCTGAGTGCTCGGGGTCCTATTGGCTGCTGTGATGTCACTCAACTCCAGTTGGAAGCATCCAATCATTGTAAAAGAAGTCACAATTGGGGGACTCCCAGGAGGTTCTGTCTAGATTTTATCTCATAAAATGAGCCTCTCCTGCGGGTGAGGAGAGTAGCAGCCTGCTCAGCAATGAAAATCACATATTCCTGTTATTAACATTAAAATACCCTCCCTTATTGGTAAGGCAAAGAAAAAAAACACAAAAGATTGTATGTTCTTCAATTAGATATAAAGTAGGACTGCTTTCTGAGAATCCATTGCTTCTCTCTGAGCTTGAATCTAGAGATTCTCAGAGAAGCAAACCCAGATTCCACTTATTACACGATGAGATGTCACATAGATTAATAACGGAATGTGTTTGTGTTTGTAAAGGCTGAGATCCACGAGTTGGCATGGAAACTGCTAAATATAAACAGTGCCATCTTTCAGAACCCCATCTGTGCTTATTTAAAGGGCTGTGGGGCTGAATCTATACCCCCAAATCACCTCATTAAGATTCTGGTGCTTAGCTTGTCCCGTAAATCAAATTATAAATAAAATTTTAGGATGGAATTTGTTCTCTTATTGTCGTAGCTTTTAACAAGTTAATGCAAACCATATTCAATGTGAAACTGAAATACGGCGCAAAGGTCATGTTTGATGCCATTTCTTTTATTTGTTAGTGAGAGATAAGATCAGATTACTTGATTATTAAAATCTATAGTCTTTTCTTTATCTCCACAAATCTTTTACTTATCAAGTAAAAAATAAATCCCTTATACCTTCCACACAGACACAATTAATATCCCAAGATATATCCCAGAGCTCGCCCAAGATATATCCCGGAGCTCGCCCAAGATATAACCCAGAGCTCGCCCAAGATATATCCCAGAGCTCGTCAAAGATATATCCCAGAGCTCGCCCAATATATATCCCAGAGCTCGCCCAAGATATATCCTGGAACTCGACCAAGATATCCTGTAACTCACCCAAGATATATCCCAGAGCTCGCCCAAGATATATCCTGGAACTCGCCCAAGATATCCCGTAGCTCACACAAGATATATCCCAGAGCTCGCCCTAGATATCCCGTAACTCGCCCAAGATATATCCCAGAGCTCGCCCTAGATATCCCGGAGCTCGCCCAAGATAAATCCCAGAGCTCGCCCAAGATATATCCTGGAACTCGCCCTAGATATCCTGGAGCTTGTCCAAGATATATCCCAGAGCTCGCCCAAGATTTATCCTGGAGCTCGCACTAGATATTCCAGAGCTCGCCCAAGATATATCCTAGAGCTCACACTAGATATATCCCAGAGCTCGCCCAAGATATATCCTGGAGCTCGCCCAAGATATATCCCAGAGCTCGTCAAAGATATATCCCAGAGCTCGTCCAAGATATATCCCAGAGCTCGCCCAAGATATGTCCTGGAGCTCGCCCAAGATATCCCGTAGCTCACACAAGATATATCCCAGAGCTCGCCCTAGATATCCCGTAACTCGCCCAAGATATATCCCAGAGCTCGCCCTAGATATCCCGGAGCTCGCCCAAGATAAATCCCAGAGCTCGCCCAAGATATATCCTGGAACTCGCCCTAGATATCCTGGAGCTTGTCCAAGATATATCCCAGAGCTCGCCCAAGATTTATCCTGGAGCTCGCACTAGATATTCCAGAGCTCGCCCAAGATATATCCTAGAGCTCACACTAGATATATCCCAGAGCTCGCCCAAGATATATCCTGGAGCTCGCCCAAGATATATCCCAGAGCTCGTCAAAGATATATCCCAGAGCTCGTCCAAGATATATCCCAGAGCTCACCCAAGATATATCCTGGAGCTCGCCCAAGATATCCCGTAGCTCACCCAAGATATATCCCAGAGCTCGCCCTAGATATCCCGTAACTCGCCCAAGATATATCCCAGAGCTCACCCTAGATATCTCGGAGCTCGCCCAAGATAAATCCCAGAGCTCGCCCAAGATATATCCTGGAACTCGCCCTAGATATCCTGGAGCTCGTCCAAGATATATCCCAGAGCTCGCCCAAGATTTATCCTGGAGCTCGCACTAGATATTCCAGAGCTCGCCCAAGATATATCCTAGAGCTCACCCTAGATATATCCCAGAGCTCGCCCAAGATATATCCCAGAGCTTGCCCAAGATATATCCTGGAGCTCACCCAAGATGTATCCCAGAGCTCGCCCAAGATATATACTGGAGCTCATGTAACGGATCGCCTGGCACCCCGACTGGGTACCTCCGTTGAAAGATGCTCCTAGCGCTTCCTGAGGACTCCAAGCACTGCAGCCGACACCACAATCACCGAACCAGAGAAGCGTATACCTTCTCTCAAGCATATGAATGCTGTAGACAGTTGAATAGGAACCATACGAATAGGTTTACTCTCCTAGCAGTCAAACTGGAACAGCATACAATAAATCCTTCCCCCAATAATGAGACGACACTTCACTTTGAGGGTTAAACAGGAACTCCCTGTACTGTCACATACAGTCTCTTTTATTCCCAATCCACAAACATAGTACAGCCCACAGGGCGTTACAAAACAGCCAATCAATCCATACAATACACCCAGACACTCCCACACAAAATCCTCCCCTCTGCAGGTGATATGATTACTGAACACAATGGGTAATCTAATTATCACAGCCAGAGAAATACAGTTTCATAAAACACATCACAGGGACCCCAAAACATGCAATAACCCCATAAAAATATCCTTGGAACTGGGGGATCTGGGTGAACCACATATCCAAAATTCACCCAGATCCGTTCAGTACTTTGGAAAATACAGTTTAATGCAGATTCTGCAGAACATATACAGGCTAAATAAAAAACAATCACTGTATAATGTGTCCCCTGCTGTATAGTCCAAAACCACCGCACGATGTCTCTGTGCAACAAATACTGGCGAGATGGCACCGTGTTGAAAAGTCCACACAGTGTCTGTGAGTTAAAATGGCCGCCATCCATTGTTCTCACCATGTGCTTCTGATACAGGAAATGGTGGCCACCCAGTAACTCCACAGTATGTCCCCAGATGGTTCTTAAAAGGGCCAGCAGCAGCACAACACAAATCCATTATGCCCAAATCATGTCTTTAAAGGGCAATACATCCCAGGGGCCATAGTCACATGGCAGGAGGCTGGCAACCAGGCTTCTCCAGTGCATAGTGGCGAGGTTGGTTCCGCCACAGCTCACACTAGATATCCGGGAGCTTGCCCAAGATATATCCTGGAGCTTGCACTAGATACCCCGGAGCTTGCACTAGATATCCCGGCGCTCGCCCAAGATATATCCCGGAGTTCGCCCAAGATATATCCTGGAGCTCACCCTAGATATCCCGGAGCTCGCCCAAGATATATCCCAGAGCTCGCACCAGATATCCCAGAGCTCTGCTGGCTCTTAGAGAAGTACTTACAACCTCCAGAGAATAAAGAAACTGTTTTTGCCAGAATAAATGGTTTGATAGTCTCAAACTGTTAATTTATTCTGGAAAGCGAGTTAATGCCTGCGCCCTGTTCCATATATCTGAGCCTGGCTCTCCCGCATGCCATGAATATATCAGATATTGGCTGCTGAAATGATATAATTACTATCAATCAGTGAGTGATAAAGATGCCTTCAATGACTGTAAACAAAGTCAGCATTATAATGAGACACATTACCCCCCAGCCACGTGTTAGTAGACTATGAAATACCTGCCATGCTATTTGTTTTTAAATAAGTTATTCAGTCCCCATGATCTCAATTCTGAAATATAATAAACTGACAATTGGCAAACGAAGGCCAGAATCGCCGGCTTGAACCCTGTGCTCCTAGGTCAGGTATATTGCAAGGTATATTTTTTTTCTTAAACTAGCAAGATGTATCGATCGATAGTGAAACTGGAGAATTTTACCAAATTTTTGCACATATTATCTTCAATGTGTAATTCAATATTTAGTGAGCTATAATATGGTATCCCGTGAATAAACCCCAATATCTGACTAGTTATAATGTTTGCTATTCTATTTTAACTATCCTTCCTGCGTGCATCATTTCTGTATCTTGAAAATGAATAGCTATGAAACAATTACATATGATAGCGATTGTGAGATATTACGTGGTTACGTAGATGTCACTTCATTTATTCACGTTAAATGTATACTTAATTAAAAGATTGTAGCTAAAGGACCACTATAGTCACCCAGACCACTTCAGCTCAATGAAGTGGTCAGGGTGCCAGGTCCCTCTAGTTTTAACCCTGTAGCTGAAAACATAGCAGTTTCAGAGAAACTGCTATGTTTACACTGAGGGTTAATCCAGCCTCTAGTGGCTATCTTCCTGACAGCCACCAGAGGCTGCTTCCGCGATTTACACTGAGTAAATCGCACTTATTTGATGCTGGATGTCCTCACGGAGTCCAGGGTCCAATAAGATCCCCAGAGGAAAGCACTGAGTAATGGTTTCCTATGGGCGGGTTTAAATGCGCACGTGCCATTGGCCGCACATGCGCATTTGGCTCCACTCGGGAGCTGACGTCAATGGAGGAGTAGAGGTCACCAGTGTCGAGGGAGCCTGATGCTCGATTAAGAGAAGCAAATAAATGGCTAGTTACCAGTTATTCACCGCGGAACATATTTGTATTCCTATGCTATAGTGTTCCTTTAAAATGTATTTCTTAATCATTTCACTGTTACATTCTACTAAAAAATAGTATGGCTTGAAATACCCTTACTGACAAACATAGCATTAAATGGTTTTGTTTACTTTAGAAAAACCTAAATCATTCTAAGCACCAAACGTACCTCAGCTTAATGAAGTGGTTTTGGTGTATAGATTACTCCCCTAGAGTCTCACTGTTCAATTGTCTGAATTTTATGAATTAAATTACTTTATTTCTGCAAACCTGGCAATCATTTACCTTATCGTCACACTTTCTGAAAAGATAGATCCATTTAGAACCTTTGCTTTCACATCAGCAGAATATTTACTTTAGAACTTGCAGAGGTGGTAGAACCATTGTATCTTCCCTGCTTAAAGCTATACAGCAGCTAATGCCATTTAAGTCAACACAGAGGGGGACGTCTTATCTCCCTGTTCAGAGCTGTTAATCAGCATATGTTGCATGAAGTATTTCTCCTGCCAGCAGCCTCCTGTGTGAGATAAGCCATAGATCTAACATAGAGACTGAAGAAAAGACTTGGGACCTTTTATAACATAGCCTTATTATGCTGGTTTTATTTTTTATTTTTAGATTATTTGTGAATGATCTGGTATTTAATTAACGTTATATATATTGTTTATTAATATTAATTTTCCTTTTTTTATATAGATTCAAAATATGCCTGGGGTACATCCTCATAACTGTTTGAGGATATCCTCGAAAACAGATTGCATTCTTGTGAGGACATATTGCCTGTATGTTTGGAGATACATGACATTTTATCCCATACAGGGAGATTTTATATATCAGTGCAGAGCATCCAGGCTATTCCAGTCATTGAGAATCATTCACTGCGTCCATCAGAGCGAGTTTATTTAAAGGGACACTATAGTCACCTGAACAGCTTTAGCTTAATGAAGCAGTTTTGGTGTATAGAACATGCCCCTGCAGCCTCACTGCTCAATCCTCTGCCATTTAGGAGTTAAATCCTTTGTTTATGAACCCTAGTCACACCTCCCTGCATGTGACTTGCACAGCCTTCCATAAACACTTCCTGTAAAGAGAGCCCTATTTAGGCTTTCTTTATTGCAAGTTCTATTTAATTAAGATTTTCTTATCCCCTGTTATGTTAATAGCTTGCTAGACCCTGCAAAAGCCTCCTGTATGTGATTAAAGTTCAATTTAGAGATTGAGATACAATTATTTACGGTAAATTACATCTGGGTTTGAAAGTGAAACCAGTTTTTTTTCCATGCAGGCTCTGTCAATCATAGCCAGGGGAGGTGTGGCTAGGGCTGCATAAACAGAAACAAAGTGATTTAACTCCTAAATGACAGTGAATTGAGCAGTGAAATTGCAGGGGAATGATCTATACACTAAAATTGCTTTATTTAGCTAAAGTAATTTAGGTGACTATAGTGTTCCT